AGAGGAAAGAGAAGGATTACCGCCAATAGCTTGTAGAGAGTTGCAATACAGCTGTTTTGACAAATTGTTTAGGTGTCACAAATCTAATTCACAGAATTAGAAGAAAAAGACAACAAAAAGGATTGTCTAATTCAACCATCATGGCATAGGAACATATATAGACCCAAGATGTGTCAGACATTTATCAAACCTCTTCTTGAAACTTCCAGTCATGAAGATCCCACAACCCCCACAGGCAAAATTCCAGTGCTTCACTCACCTTCATGTGAAAGAGATTTTTTTCTAATCTTGATTTTAAATCTCTTTTGTATATTTAAATCCATACTGCTTGCCTTATCCTCCATGTTTATGGTGAACAGACTATCTACTTTTCTTTGCAGTAATCATATGTATATGCACACACATACATACATACATTTGTTATAATAGACATATTTATGTATCTATATTTGAAGATTTTTCTTGTGTATTCTTCTAGTAATATAATCTCTAGCCAAAACAACCCACTCTTATTCTGTCTCCTTTCCTCTGACCCACCCCACACAGCTTCCCAACAAGTTCTGTCTGATTTGCAGTTCTTTAACTTGGGAGGAGTAAGATGTTTCTCTGTCAGTCAGCCTCATTTGATTTTTCAGGTGGATGGATGAGACCTCAAGTCAGTATTATTTATAAGATTTCAATACTTAGCTATAGATTTTGAACCATACCTGCCTCACAGCCTAGTAAAAGGATTATGCTTATCACTTATGCTGTCTTTTCCTTTTGACTCCAAAATAAGCCTGAATTTACTAACCTCACAGTAGAGAGGCAGTGAAGTATTTGCTTCCCCTGTTTTATAAATAGGAAACTTGCTGCAGTGTTTTGTCCAGGCGACACTGCCAATGCGGCAGGTGTTAACATGCAGGTGCCTCAGAAACAGCCCTGAGCTTCTGGTACAAGTTAAGCAGCTCCAGGTGGGGAAGGCACAAGCTTCTTGCTGCCTTCTCATGTCCTTTCTCACAGACACTCCCTCTGCTAGTTAGAAACACAAGCAATAAGCTGTTGCACGTGAAGCCAAGAGCTCACGTGCACCTATTTCTGAAGTGAGCAGGGCCAATGTGGATTTCTGACCATGCCTTGGCCATGCCATTTTATTTTTTCACCCCTTGCCTGCTACCAGAGTAATCTCTTCAGGGTTGAGAAAGTCTTATATCTCTCTTGAGCACCTAGTGCTTGGTCTCTGATTTCAGGTGGAGGCTCTGATATTAATAATAATCATCATAATCAGTGGCATCCTCTGGAAAAAAAGTAAGTATTCATGAGAACAAGCAAATTATCGGTAATGGAGCCCCCCAAAAATGAGGTACCAAAATTTATAAAAATGGCTTTCATGCGTTGCTGATGAATGGAGCTAGGTCCTGCTCTGTGCTCAGTGTATCTGAACAGTGCCCTAATAGTCTACCTGCTTCAGGTTTGTGTCAATGGACAAAATCTACCATGAAGCAGGAAACCTTTAGAGAGTTAGAGGACACTGTGTTCGTTCCTCTTGGAAACCAGCTTGGGGTTGGGAATTCTGTGACTAAGCATGGAAAAGTAGGAAACTGAATAATAAACAAATTGGCCAACCAGTACAAAATCTGTGCCCTCTGCTCACTATCCGCTCTATTACTTCTGGTGGCTGATCTCTCACTTGCTACTCCTGTCAATGTGTCTTTACCAGGAAAGGAAAATTAGGGATTAGAGAAAGTACGAAGTACTTTAAAAACTGGTTCTTTGGAACATATTTGCATCTGATGAGGAAACGATAATTAATTTATATTTCACGGAGCTTGTGATTTACATTATTTGGTTCAGGAAAGTATAGAGAGATGGGTTTCAGAGGAATTTTTCTGTTATTATTTACTCGCAGAAGGAACTGTCCTTGATGAGGGATATTTGATTTCTTACTCACTTGTTTGGAGATGTGTTCATTTTCTTTTCTATTCCTAGATTTGTTTTCCTCCCAAGAGTCTTTAAGTTGATTTTAATAATTAAAAATTATACAAGGCCTGTCTAAAAGCCCTCTGAAGTCAGCAGAAATATTTATATTCCATGGACAGAATTTACTGAATCAGTGGCTGGAAGTATGTCCTTGATTAACTGACAAGTCTCCTGTTCATCACTTAAAGAAAATACATACTCTAAGACAGTGCAGCAGAGCTGTGTGATGTTCCCTAGTGAAGGTGTAGAATGAGCAAGCATGTACAAATCTCTCTTTCTCCAAGCTGAAATGAAAGTTTTTTATAATTTGACAGCTGACATTAAATTTTTTTGCCTTCATTACTGTGCAGCTGTATACCTAAGTTTTTCCAAATTAATTTAAGAATATCAGTTTGAGCTCACAACTCCTTTATTCGTTTTATCCATATTCATTTTCCTTTTCAAGGGAGTTGTTTCTTCTCCTTCTCATTTTTCTAATTGAGATGAAATCTGCACTATGCTGTCACAAAATTTGGTTTGGTTTTTTTTGTTGTTGTTGTTCCAAATAGGTGCCTCTATTTTCCCCTGTGTCATAACCTTTATTATGTTTTTCAGTATCTTACAGTGATAATGTTAGACTTGGCTTTTTTCCCTCACTCTTTCTCGTTCTATTTTTTCTCTGTATTTCACACTGGCATGCTGTCTTTCCTACATGAAATATCACTTCGAGAAAATAAAGCTTTAGAAATTAACCTAGAAATAGAAGAAATGGAAACAAACCTATTAATATTACATAAATTCAAACCAATCAACTCTAAGCCTCTTCTATTGTGGTGGGAAGGAAAAGGGAGAACTGAGAAAAGCAAAGCATATTTGCATAAGACAAATTTCCTTATAAGCTAGTGCTGTGATATGAACAACAAAATAATACATCCCTCAGAATTTTTTCAAGCTTATGGACAAACATCTCCTGCCAATGTATAATGAGTGCTTACAGACGGCTTTGCTTATGCTGGGCGTTTACTGTCACCTACTTTGTCGAAAAAGTATCATCTGCTGCACCCTTCTGGACGTTACAAGGACAGCACATTCTCCAGAAAATCCCACACAAAATCGGGTAGGCTTACAGAATAGTTTTCAGGAGCAAAGATGTGGCTTCCATTGTTTCTAGTAGAAAACAGGCATAAAAATCTCTCTGCTACTGATTGGTCAAAGATTTAAATGAGATCCAAGAGAAAAGACTTTTCCATGCTATTTACTAGCAGATCTAGAGTGGCTTCAGACTTCTGCACCTATAGCCTGTGACATTCGGTATCTGAGGGCAGAGCAAGTAATGCTGTCAGTGGCAGAACAGTAGAGGCTTGGCTCCACATAGTTCACATCCCTGTTTATCGTGTCGTCCTGCATCTCTTGGTGACCCCACTTTTCTCCTGTGTCAAACTGGAAAATCTTCAGGTCCTCCATGCCCTTCTCACTCCCACATGGTCCCTTAATCCTGCTTCTTCCCATTCATGTCCCCATGATCTCTCTGTGAGGTACTCCTGGCTTCCAGTAGGACAGCCTGTGTCTTCCACGTCCATGTGTATGAGGCGGATGTTCTCCGGATTCACCTATGCATGTGCTGACATGCTGGGTGAAGGGTACAGACTTGCTGACTGGCAAAGCAGAAATGAATGGTGTTTGCTTCCACCATGAGTGTCCTTATGGAGAATAAATTTTGTTTTCTTTTCTCTGTCTGATCACTGATTTTCTGAAGCCTTGTAGGAACATTGGAGTTCAATCCCTCTGCCAGGTCTGGTGGAGGTTGGATAATATGCTCAAAAAGTGAATGTGGAGGTAGGGATGTGGATGAACTGTGGATGTGATGGTACATGGACACAGATGACCACAAAACAGTTACCACGACCAACCACCTGTCTTCCTACTGGTGTGACTTCTGCCCATCCTGACTGCAGGCTACACACTGGCTCCCTACTGAGAACCCTCTGCAGTGCCTCAGAGCTGAGGCAGAAAGGCCAGTTCTCCACCAGCCTAGGGTACATTTCCCACCTGTGCACAGGAGCCATCTACATTTTGACCACTGCTTTTACCCCAGGTGACTCATCTAGTCATCGGTGCTCACAGGGATGTGGCTGCTATGCATGGACTTTCCAGAACCATCATTCTCCCAGCACAGAGGAGAATATGTGGGATTCCCACCTTGCTCCTAACTGTTGTTCTCTGCCCCGCCAACCCCAGCTGAAGGCTCTACAAACTTGCCAGGCAAACCAGCTGAAATTCCTGAGGGCACTCTGGCTAGGAATGCCTAGCTTGCCTTAGCTGAGCCCCATGGGGGTGATGGAGGTGGTGTTGCTGTAATGCTTGGGGCACCTGACATGCACCCTGAGGTCTGGGCAGACCTGAGATATCAGGAGCTTTGCCTGGAGGGACAAAGACACATTATACACTGAACCGAGGTGAACACTGCCTCCTAAGTCATGAACAAAAAAAAACAACACAGAAATGGGAAACAGCTGAGGGAAGGAAGGTTCTTTCTCCCAGAAAGGACACTGGAGACTGTTGAAAGAAATTCTGTTACAGAGTTACCATTAACAGGGTCTGGTTTTGGGGACTGGCTTACACAAAAGCATAAATCAGAATCAGTTCCAACATAAGCAGTGCAACTCTGTGACTAAAAACACAGTTGGGACCCAAAGCTGAATATACAGGACTGTGTAGAATTAGATTGTGCCTGGGTTCCCATACTTTCCACCACCGTGATCCCCATCTTTACCTTAGCAAAGTGAGGCCAAGCAATCTGAGAACAAAACATGCCCCACAAAACAAAGAGAGTGCCTTCACATTTCCCAGCATCCAGTGCAAGTGATTGAGTCTGATTTGGTAATCCATCCAATTCAAGGTTGTTTGAATGGCCACACCACGGCAAAGGGGGTCACAGCATGGGAGAATGATTAACTCAACCTACCTGCCTTGTTTGTTTGATGCCGCCTCACTCCAGTGCGAGTCAATAAAACTTTGTGCACCGACACACACAACTTCCAGCACCCGCCAGCTGGGCCAAAATGGGGATTAGCAAAGGCGCCTTTCTCTTTCTTTTCTTGCTCAGCTCAGGTAAGAGTCCTTTGCCTTCCACTTGCCTAGGTGAGATGGGGGCTAAATGCTTGCAAGCTCCATTTGGTGAAGGGAGGTCCCCAAATCCCTGTGTCGCCGCTCACCTGGACGATGACGGATCTGGGGCTTGCTGGCCAGCGAGAGCTGCTGTTGAACAAAGCAAGAGCTGTGGTTGTTCCAGTGTTGTGTTCGTTAGAGACGCCAGAAAAGCAACAGCCTTGGTGTCTGCATGGGGAACAAATGGCTCCCTGCAGCCATGCCCCATGGCCAGAAATGGAGGCACCCTTGGAAAGCAGCCCCAAAGCCTGCTACAAAACCCATAGCTGTCAGTGAGAAGGCTATCTCTGGTTTCAGCAGGCTTTCAATCAAATGCTAAAGCTGTTTTTACTGCAAAGCATTGCTATGCAGAGTGATCCTGATTTTCATCCTTTATGATAGAAGTTTTAAAGTTTTTAAATGAAATATTTAAAACAAAATTAAAAATGAAAAAGCTCCTTTATATTCCAGCAATTTCACATTTTCTGTTGACAAACACTTACAAGAAAATATTCTCCCTTGTTTTCCTGGGGGCAGAAGGTAGAAATTTAATCTTCAGTAACCTGGATCAACATTTCCAGGAATATGTCTAGAAATTTTTTTTTACAACTCCAAAAGAAGATAGGTATTCCACTGAAGGTAATATATGAACTTCAATCTCGTCTACAAATGCTGTAAATAAATATTCCACATGTAGTATACATTTCAATCAGATTTCAATCAGATACCATATTCTCTAGTACTTTAACATTGCATGGCCCTTAAATGACTTTTAAAAAGTACCGATAAAAACATATCAGTACATTTTGTATGATTTTCTAATAGCTCAGACCTTTAATATGACAGAGTAACAGGGACATATGATTGTTTGATTGTGCTGGGTTATAAAAGACATGTGATATAAAGTTATTTTTATTTGCTCATTGTTATCAGCTCTAACTCACTTGCTCCAAAGTGATGGTCCACAAAACTGCCTTAATACCAATTTTTATGTCTTCTGGATTAGCACTGGTCAAGTCTGGAAAGATACATATATAAAAGAAGAAATTGGTTTGCTCACATATATTTGAATATTCTGTTCAATTATCATGTGTCACGTCTGTGTTTACAAAGACTTGGACTTTATCCAGAATAATACATTCTCTGCTGCATTGATGGTTGAACTCGATGATCTGGAAGGTCTTTTCCAACATAAATAATTCTATGGTTCAATGATTTTGAAATCTATTGTATTCTTTCTTAAGTTTACACTTTGCAGTGTTTTTCAGGCAACTACCATCACATTTTCTTTTCTGTTATCTAAGCCTCTGCCAATCTGTGCTGCCTTTTCGCTTATGCATGTCATCCAAAATCTCGTGTGTTTATTCTTAAACTGACCGAAATAAATCTTTTTTTTTAATGATCACTGAAAAAGAATGGTATCCAAAGTAGAGCTCTTTGGACAAACATATAGTTTTAAGATGAGCCAATAAAGTTTGGAAAGTAAAATTTTCCTATTCTTGTCCCCTGCAATTCTGGAACAGTGGCCTCAGTTGGCTTAGGAAAAAGGTCAGGAGAGGAAACACTTGTTTGCTGAGTCCATCAGGAGAAATTGGTATGCTGTTGGTGCTCCATATAGTCCTACTGTAACAGTAAGATTAGATGTGGGAGGCCTCAGTGTCAGGGATTTCTTAAGACATGTGATTTTATAGCATTGAGCCAACTCTGCAAACAGTCACAGAAGATTGCCCTCAGGCAATTCATCATCTCACTTTCATTAGTGGCCCAAATACCTTTTATTTTATGTGAATATGTGTCATGTGGAGGTAGGTGATGAATTACCTATATGTCATGGGAGTTAATTACACTGGAGTGATGTTGCAGTGAATTGAGCCTAATATGGATGTTTGCATAAAAGAAAGGTTCGTAACGTTTATGAATTTTGTGTGTCTGTCAATAATAATCTAGCTTGAAAAGTGAAATAACTAAACAATATCACTCCTGTAACTTTGTAACCTGATGCTGGATGTGGAGATAAGCTTTTGTAGAAATTAGGAAGTTCCTGCTCAGGAACTGTCTGGGCATCGGTCAGCGGGTGGTGAGCAATTACATTGTGCATCACTTGTTTTGTATGTTCTAATTATTTTTATTTTTACTATTGTTATTATTATTATTCCTTCCTTTTCTGTCTTATCAAACTGTCTTTATCTCAACCCACAAATTTTACTTTTTTTTCCGATTCTTTCCCCCATCCTCCTGAGGGGTCAGTGAGTGAACAGCTGTGTGGTGTTTAGCTGCCTGCTGGGTTAAACCATGACACCATCTTATGCACATGTGGCTTTCAGATATAATACCACTAATTGATTTACTTATTTAAAATCTTGGGTTAATTTGTTGCAAGAGAGATGCAGCCTAACAGATTTATTAGTAAGTCTGCTAAACCCATTACAACAAAAATAATGGTGGCCATTGTAAAAGACTATATAGTCATTTTATGATTGAGGGGTCTTGCTCCAGGGCAAGACATCTTAGGACACACAACTATTCAGGGACCAGTAAAACTGCAGTGATTGCACCATCCACATGGGAGGTCATAAACTCACATCCTCCCAATTCACGCTTCTCCAAAACTTCAATATTGATAACACTTCCCTTTATCTTTCTCTGACTGGTGTTTGTTTGACACCATTTAGTCCCTCTCTCTGGTCCCTCTCACTCTTGTTTCACATTTCTTGTTCTCACTTTCAAACCCACACATAACTCCATTCAGAGCTCCTTCCCTCATCTCTCTTCTGCTGTTTTTTTCCTAGGACATGTTCCAGTCATACAGCTGTGATTGTGTCAGGAGACAGAAATTTCCTCAGAGTTTATCATCTTTTTACCCAGAATTACACAAAATAAATGGTGCCTCACCTGTCAATGCTACATGGAAAATGGGACTCAAAGTCACAGATCTTCTTAACTGCATCATTCTCATTTTTAATGTCTGATTCCTTTCCTTCCCTTGTAGTGAAAGGAGATATTCTGGATGACTATTTAAGAACAGATGGTGTTTGGATACTTACTCGAAATAAACAGTTTTACAAGACAAACAATGAAAAAGAATGTGCAGAGAAATGTGAAGCAGAAAGAAATTTTAATTGCAGGTAATTTCTGTTGAATCTTAAAACCATGTTATCATGGGTGTCTGCATATCAATGATATTTTCCTGTTGTTGCTCAGAACCAACATCCCCATGCTGCTGCAGCTCTGCCTACAGCAACGTCTTCCATGACTGTGCCTTTAGCTTGTGGCTTATCTCCACCCATAAATTACCACAAGGTCAATCCAAAGGGTGGATTTACAATGGATTACTCATTGTGCAGTAAATGCTCAAGTTTGCTCTTACCCAATGTTACGTGGAGAGCTGCTCATGTCTCTTTAGCTGCATGCTGCCCTGTTTCACAAAAGAAGAGTGAGCTATTTCTAAATCATTGTAGGGAAAGGCGGTAACCTGAGCAGCTAGAATGCTGTTGATAACATTTTGCCAATGCAGTAACAAGCTTCCCACACAGTAACTTATTCATGTAGTTATACATCCTGAAAAAGTCAGCCACTTCAGAGCAGTAGAAAACGTCAGTATCTTACTCAGTGTCTCAGATACTGAGTGCAGTATCTAAAAGATATAAGTGGATACAAGAAAGTGCTAGTAAAGTAATAATTTACAGACAAATAATTACAAGTTGAATAATTTGAATTGAATTAAAAATATTGCTTCCTATGTCAATATTGCTTCCTTTCAATTTCAACAGGGCCTTCCTATTCACCAGGAAAAAGCTACAGTGTTTAACACTGGCTGAAAATGCCAAAATGACAGTCATGTTCAACAGCACGGATGCAGTTCTTTATGAGAAGAAAAGTATGTATATAGTAAGATACTACACATTTACGTGTTAAGCCTATTTTAACTCCATCCTTGCATTCTCTGCTGCAGTGCTGGAGCAAACCATTGCAAGTGGTGACAGTTTCAGTGAGGTGGGCCTGCACCCATTATTAACTGGGCTGAAGCTGCCTGAGAATTTCACATATAGCATCAAGGCTCCTTATAGCTGAACTTATATTTCAGTCCTTTAGTCATGTATTACTGGGACCAGGCAGAATAAGCATACTCCAAAGCAAAAATCATACATTTCTCTGCCCTTTAAGTAATTGCAGTCCTCTGCTTTGTGGAGCTAGTGGAGTCCTTGGTCATACAAATTTTCAAGACTACAGGATTATCTACTTCTGTGTAACCACTTCTCTAATTATCTGTATAATAATTCGGTCAGGAATTATTTGACTGAAATATTGTATTGACTTATAACTTCTAAAAAAAATAATAACCAAATGTTCATGTTCTGTAAGCTGTTTTGTTTATGCTTAATTCTTGTTTTATGCCAGGCTTAGATAAGTGGCTTGGTTTTAAGATTATTTGTGGAATTAATTAATTAATGCTTTTCTAAGTTTTGAACAGATGCTATATAGCTGGAAAAATAAATAGATTTTTTTAACTAGAATATCTTCATAAGTTTTGTGGGAACATACATAAGGCAGTCACAAACACTAATTTCAGTGAGTCTTCCATGAAAAAGAAAGCTCCTGTTACTACCTGATGTGTAAGATCAATAGTGAATATATCTTGTAAGAACATTTCAGTTTGTTTGAAAAGACAATTCTTTTCAGTGTCTTTACAATTCTGAAGCATTTGAAAGATATACAGAAAACTGAAACTGCATGAATAATCATGGGGCAGGTCCCCTTTGCCATATCAAAGTTTTAAAGAGAAAGCAGTTCACATCCAAATTCCCAGTTAATATAAACTGATACAATTCTGACAAATTCATTAATGTCTGCTGGAGATCTGACCCAAACATAACGAAAAGCTAGAATGTTAACATTTAAACAGCTGTATCCTAATTCTTCTGCTACTAGACTGGATAATGGGTTGCCAGGTTCACAGCACCAAGTGCAACTGGGTTTGTAACAGATATCTTCAGTAAGTACTAGCTTAACCTCTAGCTGATTATCAGCCAGTTACATTTTGTTCTTATGGTGCAATATGTGTTCCCTGGTGTCTTCTTTCTATGCTAATCACAAGTGGATTTTCTCACCAGTTTTCCTGACCTTGCAGTTTGTGTTTAGCTCGGACGTATTACTAAAGCCTTAAAAGCTAGAATTTGAAGTGTACTGCTTGATTCTTGAGTGTTATTATGGTCAGATTCCTTCTTGTTTTAAAAGGTAAAACCACCGTTGCAGTTGTTTTGATCAAAAGACTTTAGCTCTACAGTCATGTCCCCCCTTGTCCCAGTAACAGACCTCACAAGACTAAAGCCTATGGAGACTTCTTCTCCACTTTTATTTTTCACATATTCCTCATAGACCACTGATGTGTGAGTCACCACTACAGAAAAATACTGGAGCAGGTTCAGCCAGGTCACTTCTAGCACAAGTGAAATATCTGTAGAAATATGGATGTAGCCAATGCCTCAACATTTTAAATGTGATTTTTTTTTTACTGAAGTCAAAAGTGATTGGAATTTTCCTTTGAGGTTAGAACAGGATAAAGGAGGACTAAGTGCTCTGTAAATTCCTCTGCGTATGTTGAAAGCAAATAGACAGATGCACAAGTCATTAACTATTAAGTTGAAATTAGCCCAAGTGAATAAATAATTCTCATTGACCCTAATTATATGCTGTCAGAGAAAACCAGACAATAACTCAGGCTCAAATTGGTACAGATCAAGACAATATCCCTAACTTCATCAGGGCCCTTGTACGTTGCTTGCTGTTGTCCAAGCTCTTCCAAACTTCTGAAACATCTGAAGAGACACATCTGATCCTCATGTCAGTAGCAAAAGACTTGATTTTATACGCAGGAGCCTTGGCCTCTCAGGAAAAAGAGAGAGCACTGCTTGGCTTCTCTTCTTTCTTGCACACCTCCTCCAAAGCTATTCCCTGGAAGACAGGCCTGGTGCCTCCAGCCTCCATGTTCACCTTTCTGACCACATGTAATCTAGAAATTTAGTCAGAGCCTTCAGCTCTGCTGCTTGTGCCCCCAGTGAAGCCACCTTTTCCTGCAGAAAAAAAGGCCTAGCTTGGCACCCTCTCATGCTTCAGGATGGATTTTTCTTGTTTACTTTTTAGCCTTAACAGAAACTGTAGGGTGAGATATGGGTCTGCTCCCCTGTCTCCTCATCCTCTTATAAGCGGAGCTTTTCCTTCCTGGCCATGACCAGGACTGAAGGAAATTGTCACCACATGAGTCCACTGCAGGAGGAGACACTGTGTCTGGTTCCTCACACCCAGGGACCAGCTCATCGGCCCTGTAGGTGCCTGTCATGGCAGTGGGTCTCCCACGAATGGAGGCACTGGTCCAGGTGTCAGGCCCAGGACAGAGACATGGTTACCTGCTGTCCTTCTGCAGGGTGAAACTCAGTGTCCCACCTAGGCACAGCAGGCAGCCACCTCTCTGGCCTTCACTGCCATCACCGTGTGGGCTGTCAGAGCAGACGCAGTCATCCGCAGCCCTTCTGCAGAGTTGCCAGACCTTTGATGTGACTGGGAGACCTTTTGTGATAATTTAGAGGCTGTCTCTTCTCAACCCCCACTGCAGACTGAGCAGAAATCAAGTCTCTCTCATATTTAGCATCTATCAATGTCACTGAAAGCTGCACTCAGGCACTGTCACGGCTTGGACAGTAGGTGATGGATGCCAAATCCCTTCACGTGGAATCTATTTTCTCTTTCCCTATTTTATCCTTGTGCTAATGTTCATGGCTCTTCAAAACTACCCAACCCATATACCCGAGCCTTAAGGCAGCTAGACACTAGCAAGGAAAAAACCATCTGCCTCACAGACTCTTCATTTTCACCTAATGAGTTATCAGGCATCATTTGCGCATCATCCAGCATTCTTACAATCTGCAGTAATTTGGGGACTGCCTGTCTCATCTTCCTCTTTTGCTGCTTTCTGCACTCTGGGAGACCCACCCCTGACACCTGGGACACACACTGACTCCCTTGGCTACACCATTCAGCTCCTATGCTGCCACTATGCAACATACTACCTCTGCCTTCTTAGGGATAGCTCTTCAAGCGAGCCTGCTTCAGCAGGAAGTGCTTTTAGCTCTAATAGCCAGAGAATTGGGTCCTTTGGTTTTTTTCAGGGGACAATTTTTACAGTGCCTGTTTTTTTCAAACAGAGGGTGTAGAGTCATCGTCCTTGTATTTTGCACTAGCAGGAATACAAGACTATCTCATTTCTTCTGAAACTCACGGCTACCACTGCCAACATCTTTGTCTCTGGATAATCCAAACAGCAGCATTTTGTATCTGTAATGGCCCCAGTCCACCTCAAACCAGAGATATTTTTCAAAAGGCTGTTAAAGTGCATTGTAAAAGTAAGACTTGCCTTCCTAGAAGCAACGTAATTATCACAACCAGCGTCTTCCAGCCTGAGTTTGAATTTGCAAATAAAGGCATTTAGTTTCCTTAAGCCTCAGAAAAGTTTTCTGTCCCCACCATGACTCCTCAGCACCAGGAAATAGCTGCTGTAAAACTCCTTTCTGCTGAGATATGATGGAATCTGTTCTGCTTGGAGAAAGCAATCTCCAGGACATTTTGTGACTCTGCAACTCCCTTAGGTTCATGGCAACTCATGGCAACAATCACACCTAGGCCTGACTTAGACCTTGGAGTTCGTAACAGCTACACTGGCATCAGTCTTTGCCAGAGCTTATTTTCCTTGGGAATGGATTCAAAATAACTGTACAAAACATCTACTTTAAAACCAAAAGGTTCATCCCTCTGTGAGTATAAAAGTTTGTCTGGCTGTGCTGGGCCACCCAATGTTATGCACCCACATTTTACACCACCACGGATGCTTTAGGATCTGCATGCAGACCATACTCCGGATTGTCCATAGTTACAAAGGCAACTCCATGAACATCTGTCCGGCAGTTATAGTTTTACTTTCCTTATGTTAATGACAAAACCTTGTATGAGGAATCCTCTTCTGATTACGTCTTCCTTGTTAATAGTACGAATAATCCACAAGGCCCAGATACCTAGCTTTTGTGGGCTATGCTCACTACATTATGTTGAGTCAGATTTCTTCCCACCCACACCTCCAAGAGTGCCTTTTCATTTCATTCTAATTCACCTCTCAGAGTTTAAGAATCATGGCATTTTTACTAGCTCAGTGGCCATCTGGGATGCTTACGCTTTTGTAGGGGTAATAAAGTTTTGGAACTTAGTCACTGAAACATTTCTTAAGAACTTGGTTAGAGACTTTTCCTTCTTTACAGAGCAGTGTCCTCAGTCAAAACTTAATTTTTTCTTGACATATAGTTTGGCTTTTGATTCTATCCCTTTTCAGAGGAACACAGACTAGCAGGTGTTATAGGCCAGCACAGCAAACTCCTGTACAGGACAGAAAAGTAAAAGAGACTTTGGGGGTCAAACAGAAAGAAGCCATGTTACTAAAAATGCTGTTTAAGAGGGATCAAATACCAAGGCCTAAATCCATGGTGGTCTTCATGTGCCATTTGAACTGGGAAGTTACTTGCTTGTCTTCATTCCTGACCCAGCTATACAGAGCCTCCACCCGCTCTCCCCAGGTGTCAGATGTGTCCGGCTTTTTTATTTTGACAAACTAAAATAATTTAGGAGGAGCCTGGCAACATCAGAAAGTCCATGGGCAAGGCTATTGACCAGAGATGGTCATGATGAGACCTGCTACTGGGGTATCAGTGTTGCAGCAGTGGTGACAAGACTTTTGGGTGCTCCAGTAGTACCCTGACAACCAGGCAGCAGCTCCCTTTTGGTAAGACACACAGCACAAACATTTGTAGTCCCAGCCACACACTGTGATGGCAGTAAATATTGCAAGGTGTTCAAACAAGGCTCAGCTTTTCCTATCATGTTGGTCTCCTGTTCTTGCTCTAATATTTCCATTTTGTATTTTGGGGTTTAGGGGGATCCTTCTTGTGCAAGCAAATTGCTGAAGGGGAAATCAGGGTCACTCCCTCCCATAACTGGAGATTTTTCAGTGTCTGTTGCCAATAAAAGCATCATCAACATGCTTTGCATTCTGTCTGCCTTGGAATCCCACTAGAAAGTACCTGGGAGTCAGAGGCTAAGAGGAATCAAAGATTTTGGGGACCACTTACGTGACAAACATATTTTGATAACTAAAAATTTTCTGGGTTGAAGGGATAGTTGCATGACACCCACACTGCGAATGTTCTTATGAACAATGCATTTCAAAGAATCTCCAGCTGCTGGTGAAAGACCTTCCTTTTTATCCCAGTAGTATGATAGTATAAGCATGTATTTTATACATGTCAGAAACAACTGTAACTTGTTATATCTGTTTTCTTAACTAGGTTTTATTAGCTTCATAAAAATGTTTCAGGAATTATCCTCTGTAGTTGCCTAGTAGTTGGTAACTAATTTGTTTTAAAATACCTTATGGAATCACATATGTGTTTGCATGCACAAGAGGTTCAAAACATGGGTAAAACATGGTTCATTATGAACTGATGAACTTCAGAGCTGTACCTGCAGATTCTCAGTTTCAAGAGATGCAATATTGTAACACCATTGAATTAATAAAGCCAATTCCATTTCAGTTTACCTTCTACAATGTAGAAGAGGGATTGGGAAGGACTACAGAGGAATGGAAGCCAAAACTTGGAGGGGTATTCCATGCCAGAAGTGGGCAGAAAAAACACCCCACAACCCAAAGTACGTCCTTATTTATATTTGTCTTCATGTTGTTCAGAATCTTTTCCAAGCTTCCCCAACTTCCTGTGTATATACAATTTTATATTGCATGTTATCAAAGCCAGTTGTCAGGTGACTTCTTAAGACAACTTTATCTTCATGTGCCTTGTTACTTCTGACTCTACTGTCAGAGAACTGCAATGATCTGGATAGGAAAGGGTGCACTGTCAGCTAGAGAAGTTGTGTCTAAATGCTGGGCCTCTTAAGAAGATGAAATGCTCCTTTTATCAACACCTGATGAAAATTTTGCCACAATTTGTCTCTTCTTTATGAGGTGTGAAAAAAAAAAAAAGCAGTAATATCTGTCCAGCTCTACGACCCCTTGCCTGCCATCCAGGCAGTCAAGAAGAAACATCCAGCAAAGTATCCAAGTGCCAAAGGGACGTGCCCAAGCAGGGATTTCTCAGGGCTGGCTGCCAACTGGGCTCACTGAAGCAAGTGTGGAAGCAGAGGTCCTATTTTCTCTGATATATGTTGGAGTTTTATCTGTTTAAAAAAAATAATTTTTGTTGTTATTCTAATGAAATTTGGATGCACTTGGTTAGATTTTTTGTTTAAAAGCTATTTAGTCTTCTCTGAGAGGATTACTGTAGGAAGAGGCCTATGGTCATTTGCTTCAAAATCTTTGCAAATTAGGATCCAGTTGTGTTTGGTGAATAGTCTCTAGACATGCTCCACTTTTAAAGTAGCTCCATTAAGAAAAATACATGACAGAGCCACAGGTCAGTGAGCTGACTAGATCAGCTGGATGTAAGTATTAAAGACAATAATTGTCCTTAGAGACTGACATAGTCTTTGCAGGCTGTAGCTCACTCATCATCGGCAGCTGGGACCTAGGGAGAAAGCTACTAACAATGGCAGTTATGGAATGTTTTTTCAGATTTCATTTACAGGTTACAATGGGGAATCTGTTTCTCCCATTTTTACTGTGAATGAATAGAGCCCCACAGCTAGCTCAGCAAGTTGGACATTTCCCTTCTGCTCCACTAAATTACTAGAATTAAAATAGAATTTTAATATTATTACAGATATACACCTGAAAAACACCCCAATGCAGGGTTGGATGAAAACTACTGCAGAAATCCTGATGGGGATGAAAGAGGACCCTGGTGTTACACAACAGATCCTGCTACCAGATTTGATTACTGTAACATCCCAGAGTGTGAGGGCCAGGTCATGCACACTGGAGAAGGTATATTTATTTTTCAGAGGAGTGTTCAAGTAGGTAATATTATTCCTGCTGTTTGTTCGTGCTTTAATATTGCAGATTGGTTTCAAACATGAATTTAGATCAAGCTGGAACTTAAGAAGTTCTCAACACAAAGGTTGTTTTCCTTATTGGCTGTAGTTATCAAAGTAATTTTGTAAATATGGAGGAACTGAATTTTTTTAAATGTTTGTCCTGGTCTTACCCCTACCAATTTATTTAATTTTAACAGGAGTAAAGATTGACCCAAGTGCTGTGTTATGTACAGAACTCCCATTGCTATCACTACATACAGATATGTAACAAAGTCCTCCCTCCAAATGACCTCCCTGAAGCTTTATTCATTTGGCTAGGCTTTAATGCATGGTCTTCTGGATTCTTTTCATCATTAGCTGGAGCAAAACCCTCTTTTCCTTTCAGTGTAGTCCTCCATGAGTAGATCAGGATCAGAATTCACAGGCTGGTGTGAACCTTGCTTTATTTTCATTCTGCCTAGGCCAAGGCCCTACAGTGGAGTGCATGCAGTGTAATGGTGAAGACTACCATGGAGAAGTTTCCAGAACAGAGTCTGGGCTTGAGTGCCAGCGCTGGGATACCCAAGAGCCTCATATGCATGGATTTACCCCGAAACAGTGAGTCACGCTTAGAGCTGAATTCATTCCCACAGTACCTGGGAGACCCTGCCTGCAGACAGCCTAATTGCTACAGCGGGCTATAGCTGACTCACAAGCTTCTCTTTCATTTTCAATGTGCAGTTTTCCAGAGAAAGATCTGAAGATGAATTATTGCCGTAATCCTGATGGCGAACTTCGGCCCTGGTGTTTCACTACTAGCCCTACTAAACGCTGGGAATATTGCAACATTCCTCGTTGCAGTGAGTCTGATTTCCTGAGATCACTCCAGAGGGTAGCTCTTCTCATTAAAATGATGCAGGGAGTGGAAAGACAAGAAATCACAGTTCTGAGTAACCTGAGGAAATCCTTCTGAACCAGGGAAAGTGCACATTAATAAGCAGAATCACTCACTAAATTTCTGTTATATAAAATCATATAATGTCAGTGAGGATGCAGGTGTCGCAAAGTGCAATAATGCCAAAGATGTTATGGAAACCCTGATTTATCTTGAACCACCTTACTTTTCAATTTACCTGAGAGGCAGGCATTCAGGTTAAATCAGGTGGTAGTTTTCAGCTGACCTGCTAACTCATGGAAAACACGTAAATAACCATGTGGACATACTGTGATATTTTACCTGGGTCCGGCCAGCACAGCCAGCACTGCCAGCACAGCAAGGGATGAATCCTGAGAAACAAGTTCAGACCTCAGGAGAAAAACCTGAGTTAGCAGTGAGCTAGCTTAACCCATTAAGCTGAGCACACTAAATATGGACATTTCCAAAGCACTGAATAACGAGATTAGCACTGCTGTTTGTAGAACTGGACTGTACTTTGAGAAAAATTTCTGTGTTTTTATCTCTAGAGCTTGCTTTCTGATGCATCTGCACTTGCCAGTGCTCTAAGCAGCAGCTCTAGCATGTGTTTGCTAGAAGTAGTTCACGTCAGCATGCTCAATTACAGATGGAAGAATGACTATTTATAGACTTTGGTATGATAAAGTAAGTTGTGAAAGTTACCATAGCATCTCCATTTTTGTGCTTAAAACTAAAAGAAAGTTCAAGGAACAGACCAGTCTTTTAGAGTCATACTTGTCTCCTCAGGAAATTCCATATACAAAGTATATATAGTAGGTATGCACTGTAGATTGATTTTCTCTCTGCCCTCCGCAGGTTCTGTGCCTCTGATTGTCACTCTTGCTTTCTTTGCTGTTCCCCACGTGCCAGACCAATTCACTTTCTTTCACTCCTCCTTCTGCCCCACTTTCCCAATAAACTGACTCCAGAGGCTCAGCTCAGAAGGCTGTTTTGCTTTCTCTCACAATTGTCTTGGCCTTTATCCTTATCCTTTCTGCCCTTCCACCCTACCCATGTGTATTATATCAATGTGCTCCCTTCATCCTGCTTGTTTTTACAAGACTGTACAGGACTACTTACTGCCTTTCCAGCTCTGCTCTCAGGGGACTGCAGACACAAAGTCTGACTCGACCCAGCAAAGTTATTTACTAACTGCTGTAAAAGGACAGACACAGGACATCTATCTGGCACGCCTGACTGCTTGTGAAAATGTTTGGTTTTGCCATGGCTTTCAACCAATGTCATCTCTGCTGAAAGAAAAAAATGCATGTTTGACATTACAGAAAACAAGGGGGTTTAAAATATATTTGAAAGCACTAGTTAGCAGTGTTTCCTTTTCTTTTCTTTCTTTTTTTTTTTTTTTTTTTTGTAATCCTGTTACAGCTATGCACCCACCAGTCTCTGGCCTGGGCTCCCAGTGTCTTTCAGGGAAAGGAGAAGACTATCGAGGCAGGATAGCCGTCACCAAATCGGGAAATGCCTGTCAACACTGGAACACGCAGTTTCCTCACAGACATGGCTGGATTCCTGACAGATATCCCTGCAAGTATGCTGAGCCTCATCATTTTAACAAATACCACAGAACATAGTTATTCCTTATCAATCCAGATGCAGAGGCAAGAGGAGCACAGGTTTTCCACAGTTATGTTGATAAGCTGTTTTCTCACCTTTTGTTAGCTCTCATTACTTCTGTTCAGGTCTTGCTCTTAATTTTTTTCTGCATTCCTTTTTTTTTATCAGCTACTTTATCGTCATGTGCTTTTTTCACCTGTCTCCTTCACATTCCACTGCGGTTATAAGTATTTACTACTTTTATGTTAAAAATCCCCTAGCTGTGTTTTGGCACACTTTCAATGCGTTACTCTTCTGAAGAGCAATGCTCCAAGGTCCAAGATCCTTGTGCTCCAAGGTCAGAGGAGCTGGGTTTGCAGAACATTATCAAAGGGTAAGGGTAACTGGGACTGACCAGGCTTTTAGCTCTGTATTTTGATCTTGTGGGTTGTGAAATGCAGCCTGCAAGTTTTCCTGGTATGTGAATCCCTGTCCATTATCACAGGGCAGAGAGCAGCATGCACTGGTGCTCATATGCACATGCTTCCAGGATCAGTCTGTGACATCCAGCCTTGCCTGGTTCTTACCATAACGGTCAGGTACACCAATGGCTTGTGTTTGGAAGTCAGCTTTTCCTGCCTTATCTTGACCCCAAAAACAAGAGTAGAAAGTGTAAGCATTGGAAAAGTTCCTCATATATCACCAGCATTTAGCCTGTAAATTTAAAGGCTGTTGATTAATCCCAAAATAGTGGTGCATGAAGTAATCTCCAAAAAGAATAAATGTAACCGCTGAGCTGAGTTCTGCATGCAGTATTTATTAATAGTCTTGCACACAACTCCCCTGGATTTCTATGAGTAGTTTAAAGCCAGTGTTTCTGTTTCAGGGGCTTAGAGGAAAACTACTGTAGAAACCCTGATGGAGAGAAAAGGCCCTGGTGCTACACCATCAACAGCAGTGTTCGGTGGGAATATTGTGCAATTCCCCACTGTGATGGGACAGAACAAGGAGTTGCTGGTATGAGTAGTTGAGCATACTTGAGACTAAGACTTTAAAACAGTGACAGACTTATTTTTTCTCATTGTAAATGTGTTAAATCTTTTTTAGGTCACTCTGTCACTGTTGTTAATGCTGTTTTTCTGCTTGGCATGTTACAAAACCTGCCAAATATTGGACTTTCAATGGTTAAGGAAGTTCAGTGAAGGATGTAAATCACCAGCTGACCCAACAGAAGACTTACAGGATGAAAGAGATTTATTTTTTTTATATTCCTTTTTATTTCCAAAGATAGGGCATTTTTAGCAAGTTAGTTGAAAAATGAAAAACAGGTTTAAAGAGATGAAACAGTGCTAAACAAAAGGAAGTCCCATTTTTGGAAAGGAGCCACAAAAGAGAAGACAGGACCTTCCAAAGTAACAAAAATCTCATCTGAAACATCCATTCATTTAAGCATGAAAAATAACAACAAAATCTTAGTGCAATTGAAAGGATAATAGAGAGATTAAAGTTTAACATAATGTCCATTTTAGAAATATAATGGAGCAAAATCACTAGCATCTAATCTTTGAGGACTTTTTCTTGGGACCTTTCTGATCTTCATTTCAAACATGTTCACATATACCAAAATGAAACCGAGTAGTGAACCTTCCACTGAATGACATCTGACACATGAGGGTAATCTGTGAAAATTTTCTAAATATCTTTGGAAATACCTTTCCACTTTTCATGCTGGCCATGATGCTCTCACTGTATGCAGTTTGTATAAACGAGTCATTCATTTTTGTCATCCTGTGCATTTGATGCTTTCTTGTGCCTACTCAGTAAGAACATAAAATCATGATGCAAAAGACCAGCTTCTGGGTTTTGCTGCAGATGTGCCTATGGAAGTTCCCCTGCCAGAGGAGTGCTACCGAGGCAAAGGTCAGAGTTATCGTGGCACAACTTCCACCACTGCATCGGGAAAAAAATGCCAGGCCTGGAACTCCATGTTCCCACACAGGCATGAAAAAACCCCGGACAGATTCCCAAATGCGTATGTTTATATCACCTTTTCTTGCTTTATCTGACAATGACTGTTGTTGATTGTATTATCTATGCTTTAAAACACTGCCAGGGAATGTATCTATAAAGGACAATATTTCTAAAGTGCAGAAACATTTTCTGTTAGTCACATTTTTAAAAACTGTGTTTTCTTGTTATTTAAATTCTGAGTAAAATACAGCTGTGTCCCTCTACTCTTAAGTCTGAGCTTCTGTAATGAACACTGGGAGACTTGTATCCAGAGTCTGGGCGTCTGCTGAAATATGCATTTTGTTTAAGAATTTGAGACCTTTGTGGTGGCCTTTCTACTTATTTCATCTGGGGAGAACACAGCATTTATGCTGCAAAACACACAGTCAGATAATTTTATGATTAGAACTACCATTCAAATGTTCTTTGTAGTTGGAATTGGGCACCCAGAATTGCATACACTGTAATTTTCCCCCTTGATTTGTCTTCTTCAGACTAAAAAACTGGACCAGCGATGACTTAGAGAGCTAATCATAATTACTAATGTGCCAGTTTTTAATAAGGGTAGGAAAGCAACATGATAATTGCTAGGAAATCCATCATTGCTTAGTGAGTTACAAGTATAAGCAGGAAGGTTGATACTTTTCTATTTTTTTGCCTTTTTTATGATGTCACACTAAATAATTTTTTTTTTTTTTTTTAATTTTCAATCATATTTTGGCATCAAAAATACTGATGTATTGAAACTGGAACATCCTCAGAGGGAATACTGTTTTTCACAAACATTTGAAAAATTGAAATCAAGCTGTGAAAATGTGGAATTAATGTGTTCTGGCATATTCAGAAAAAAAGCATTTCATTTTTTTTATTCTGTGACTGTGCTGTGATTCACAATGGGGAAATACTGTAACTCTGCAAATTGTTGAAGGCATAAATTCTACTTCCCCCTGCCCCAGCAAGCACAGACATGGGAGTGCTCCCACTGTATTCAGTAGAAGTGTGGGTTTTTTGGGGGGGGGGTGTCATTTACATAAGTATTTATTCACCATTCTTTTGAACATGAGAAAGAACCCTTTGGCATTTAAAAATAAAAATTTTGGAAAAGCATCATTGCCCACCAACAGTATGGATCTTCCTGCATATTTATTACTAATTCACACATTCACACAATTGTGTATGCTTATACATATATACTTAGAAATTAAATTATTGGCAGATTGGGCATTTATTTAGGTACTCAGCACATTGACATATTACAGCCAGAATTTAAGCCAGTAGTTGAATTATGTTTCCTTGTGCATGAATATATTCATGACTCTGATGTACATGTGAAATATAACTCTCCACTCGTATCACAGCATGTTTTTCTGGTAATAGGATATCTGGCAATAGGTAAAAAAGTAATAAATGTATTTATATCTACATAGTACAGATCCACGTCTTTTTGGCAAGGTATTCCTATGATTACTTTCAGTCTTATGTAGCATGACTATGGTACTTATTTTGGCAGGGATTTGAGGGACAACTATTGTAGAAACCCAGACGGTGATAACAGCCCATGGTGTTTCACCACTGACCCCAGCGTGACATGGGAGTACTGCAGTCTCAAGAGGTGTGATGATCATACACAAGAGCCCGCACCAAATGACTCCCCTGCAACAACGGCACAAAATGTTGGCCTGACTACACCCACCACATCTGGTAACAGCTGGCTATAAGCATCACCTCCTGTAGAGTCTGTGGGTAAAGGAAAGAGTAATGTATCAAAATTATTCTTGAGTAGAACTGCAACATAACAGTCACATCCCTCCTCCAGCTTTCACTTGCATACTGTTCAATTTTGCAGCAAGTACTCTTTAGTCAGTTCATATCCTGTAGCCTGTAAAATTTTACAGTGCATTCTGCAGGATAACTTTTTAATTTAGGGGAACAAGAGGGAAATAGACAAAATTTCTAGTGTTTCTGTAGCTGTGTGCTATTGAAATATGATCACAGTGAATGTTGTTCCTATAGGAATTTTGCTTGTGATTTGCTTTATATTTTCAGGAGGTTGACCTTAGCTTGTTGTATTGTTCATAGGCAACCATGTTTTGCAAAATGTATGCATCAAGAGAAACAAGTTTTTGCTCTATCCTTCTTCATTGCTTCCTTAATTAATAGTCCATGTTGATCAAAATGGTGTGACTTTTCTGAATGTATAGTAGAGCTTTCCACAGATTATTTACTTTGCAAAGGAAGGTGGCAGGGTTGGATAAAAGGTTCCTAAATGAAGCCGTGTACTCTTACTCACATGCAGCAGAAGAAAGTACCTGAAACAATGTCCTTGGCAGTAAAAATTGCTCTTTCAGTCTAATGGGCTGCTAACTCTGAAATATGCTTCTCTCATGGAAGGTGCTTACTGATACCAACTCAGCAAGAATCCTGGAGTTGTTTCAGATATTTGCAATATGTTACAGAAAATGTTTAGCCTGAAGTTCCTTGAAATTTCTTCCAATTCATTTACTCTGTACATCCAGGAAGACATCCATCTTGACAAGCTAAGTGATCACATCAGAGGGTACATTTTTGTTTGTCTTTCTGCTGTAGACACTAGAGAGTGTGCAGATCCTAAAGGTACTTAATCTGGTTTGTTTCTGCTTACCACCACCACATACAGATTCAGCAGCTAACAATAATTTCCTTTTCCTCTTTTTTCACAGACTGCATTAATGGTAATGGTAAAGACTATCGTGGCACCATAGCAAAAACTGGAAGGGGCAGGACTTGTCAAGAGTGGAGTTCTCAGAAACCTCATAGCCACAAATATTTCACTCCTGTGACTCATCCAAGAGCAGGCCTGGATAAAAATGTAAACAGCTGTTAATGCCATTGGTGTCATTGAACATAGTCTTCTTCCTCCACAACCCCTCAGTAAACATTTCATGTTCAGTCTTTATAGACCAGGTTAAGCATATCTGGAAGTAATCACGTTGATAGCCCAGACCTATAATAGCGTTGAAGAGGGAAGAATGCATTTTATATTACCTAGGATGTTGGTACTTCACACACAGAGGTACACCATGGGGTTGACGCTGGCAGGCAAGCAGCACAAAAGAAATCAGCGCTTCCCTGAGTTCTGCAAACCCCAAAGCGATGCCTGTTGCTGTTTGTCACAAACTAAGCAGGCTTCTGGCAAATTCTCAGAGCTGACCTAACTTGCTGTCATTGACTTTAGGGGAAGAAGGATTAGGCCAACAACAAATGTTTTAGTTCTAAGCACTTAGTCATCCTATGTCAAACTTTTCATGAAGCCTTAAAAAGCACTAGAGCTAGGGAGACTCTTGGTGGATGAAGAAAATGACAGCAATTTTATCATATTTTTCTAATTTCACCTAATGGTTTTGAGATGCAAGAAAGAAAGACTTTTGTGATCAGAGGAAATAGAAAGCATTTAATGTCCAGTGGAAAAGTAGTTGGGGGAAATTATTCAAAGTTTTAGTTAACACTTTTTTACTTACAGACTTTGTCATTCTGTGCCTAACATTTGGAGTCTTCATTCTCTGTTTTTGTAATTATTACAGTATTGCAGGAATCCTGATGGAGATGTAAATGGTGTTTGGTGCTTCACAACAGACCCAGAAAAAAAATGGGAGTACTGTGAAATTCCACGCTGCTGTAATTATCCTTCAAGACTCTTCTGTCCTCCCTTTCTACAACTTGTTATGATAGTTACAAAATGTTTTCAATCCAACCATAAAAACCACAGTAGGCAGTAGCTTTAGATTTGAATTTAGGTCTGTATGGAAATTTGACACAATCAGGCACCTGTAACAGTCAGCCAAAGTTTTGATAACCTGACGCTAAGAATCATCAGTAAGATTTCATAGATAACAATCTGTGTGCTCTTTATTGTCAGTGAAGATAAGCACTCAGAGTTGCTAGCTGAATTTGACATATACAGTGAAGCTGTGAAGAGAGGTATTCCTTCCCTGCGCTCCTCAAACACAGGAGAGGATTTCCTTGATGTTCATGCTAGTCTTTCCATGCACTTTGTGGCAGGACTAATGCTCTGAGAACCTGCTCATCCACTTTTCCTGTTAGTTGGGAGCATCAGAGATTACATCCTTTGAAACCCTTTTCATTCTCTGCTGACTTAATTTTTATTCTGATACGGATGTTAAAATAATCTCTCCCTAGATATTTTGCCTTTCTTTTGGGGTAGGGAGTGAATTTGGTCCTGGATATTTGACACAGTTTTCCTTAATTCTTTTTTTCTATTTTGGGATAGTAGGTACACTGAGCAGGTGTAGTGCTTGCTGAAAAATTCAGCAGCAAGAGATTTTACCTTTTGTGGTGCCCTGGCAGGGGACATCAATAACAGCTGTAATGTACTGGGAGCACTGCTTGGCACACCCGGCAGTCATCTCCTTTGCTTTGCTTTTCCCTTCCTTGCCTGCATTTTGACAGATTTTATTTTTTTTTTTTTAATGTATCTGGCAGGGATATGGAAAGTCTATTTCTTCTTCATCTCATGTATTATTTTTACTACAGTAACATCCAGAGGCCAGGTCCCTGCTCTGTTGGACAGTGTATAAATACAAAATAGTGAAGAGTGGTCACTCCCTCAGGAGTATGTGATATTCTTCATGTTGGCCATCTAATGTGTTCCTCTAAGCAGCAATACGTTATGATTGCACACATTAATTTTGTCAACCAGACCTAAGAGCTGCACAGGCAAAAAGAATAAGGAATGGCATAAAACCAACAAATACCACAGCTGTAAAAACCTGCTCCCTGGAACTGCTGTGGTGGAGCTTTACTTTGAGATCTGATCTCTTTTCAAAACAGACTTTGAATACTAGATTTTTAAATTAAGGTGTAGAGAAACCTTACACTCTCCTGCCTTTGATTACTTTATTAATTTTCTCATACTGCAACTAACAAATTTAACATCCATAGCATCATATGCAGCTCTGAAAAGAGTTACTTTGGTCCTTACTGAGCACTCAAGCTCAATCCATTTTAAAAACTGTAGAGAGATTCAGATTAAGAAGAAAGTAGAGTGAGCAGTGTGAGAGCAAAATTGGAATATTTTATGACAAGAAGACACTGACTCAATTTTATTTATAATCTAGGGATTGGTTTGAACTCAACCAAGGTGTAGACTGTAATGTTTTAAAGAATTTAGAAATTGTTATTATTGTCTGGGCAATAAACTTTTCCACTTTCTTTAGCTCTTTTTTCCCTTCAACTTCCCTACAGATTTTCTCTTGGGGGTGGGGCTCATGGTTTTACTTATGTTATCTGACTACATCCAAATACTTGACATAGTTAACAATTTTTTTCCAGGTAAATTAATATTTTGTCACATCAAATGTAATATATTAGCCCCAGGTTTAAATGCTCAAGGTAATGATAATATAATGGAGTCTAAAGGTTCTGGTTTTTTCTTTACCCTTAGTTTCTATTAACCAATGTAAAGAGTGAAAGCCTAAGGAAGATTAAAAAAAGTCTTATGCCTTTCTCTTTTTCATCTGATTGTACTGTGGATGGCATTACAGAACTGCTTAAAATTCTCCATTGTAGCTTTTTTTATTCTGTAGCTTCTTCTGAGCATGACTGTGGAAAAGTCCTAATGAGGAGTGAGCGAGCCTGTGAGCAATATAGCATGTGCAGCGCATCTCCAGGGTCTTGGCCTTGGCACGTCAGTCTCAGGATGAGGTACTGGTATTCCAGACTGTATCGCCGTCCGTGAGCACCAGGGTTTCACAGGGAACAGGTGTTAGAAAGAGACTGACAAGAAACAATGCATATGCATTCCGGAGACTGGCCTTGGTTTCTATATAAAATCCTTTCACATGTAAAATAAACTTTTTTTTTTTAATCATAATGTCCACAGATAGCTACTTATTGGGTCATTAATCCCAAACTCCCCACTTTCTGCTGAATCTCTAGAGGGCAAATTTGAACTGCAGACATTAAGTACACCTTTATTTACTGAAATGGGGAAGGAATAATTCCCACTGAGGATAGTGACAGTTAATTGCATTCTGCAGTGGGGGATTTAAGCCCAGGAATATACCCACCAAGCTGCAATGTGTACGAATGGATTGTGGTCATCCCTTTTCACCCAGCATCCAATCTGGTTCAAATGTAAATTGATGCTGTGACTACCCTAGCTGTGTTAGAAGCCATAGGAAGACCACCATCTCTCAGTATAAAAAAAATGATTATGCATAGCATTTCCACAGTCACAGTGAGTGTGGCTGAACAGAAGATGAAGAGGTGCTTACAGAAAGGCTAATGAAACTTTCTATAGAGCTGTTGACAGTCACCATAATAAATATTATCCCAAGAAAAGTTAAAAGTCCATAGTAAGGTTTATTTAAAGAACCAGTCCAAAGCAACCCCACAAATCAGAAGGATGTATCCTTTTATTAATTGCTAATCAGGACAAACCCATTACATCACAAGTGAAATTGTTAGGAAATGTAATTATTTTTATTAAATTCCTGAAAGCAAGAGTGCCCTGTTGCAAAAATTTCACCTGTGTTAAATTTCTTTTCATGTCTTTCATGTTCTGGAGAAAATAAAGCTTGTCCTTTGAAAATCTGCATTTGATTTCTCTTGCTATTGGCAAAGGACAAACTATGACTGGTAAAAGGTTTGAATAAGGGGCATATTGCTCGTTTGCTAATATTTCCCATTGTGCACAGCATAGATGGTGGAGAATTGACTATGCAGTCTTAAGTGAATGTGATTATCTTCTCTGTTCTAGTACCAACATGCACCATTGTGCTGGCACTCTGATACATCCACAGTGGGTCCTTACTGCTGCTCAGTGCTTGCAAGAGTGAGTATCCGCTAGAACAAGTGACAGGCATTTCCTAAATCTGTGAGAAAATCAACAGAGGAGCAAGATGTACCTAATAAGGCACTTTCTTTACCCCTTATTTCCTGTCTTCCTTGCCAGCAAGCTGATTTTTATCTTCTGCTCCTGTTTCAGTCAAACAGCAGCAGAGCACAACAGAGGTTACTTCTATCATCTGCCTTGTCTCCTACCCCAAAGCATGACAAAAATAGGTGCTAATGATGTGCTGGTGCTAATCACACTTGGAAAAACTGTGGCTAGCAGCTGACCCTTAGGGCTTTAGAAGTTGTGAACACTGCAAGAAGATGCCACATTATTTACAGCCCATGGGATTTTTCACCATCATAAAAATCAAACTTTTAAAAAAAGCCACAATTTCCTTCTCCCTGAGAATAAATGAAGGCATCTACGGTCAGGAGCAGCAGCCTGACCATCTTGTTAACTCCTATTCTCCAGGGAAATCACTGAATTTTGTAAGGGTGATATTCCTGATTACATGTATGGATGTATAACCTTGCCACTGTCATTTCTTCCAGGTCAACAGAGCCTTCTTCCTACAGGGTGTTTCTTGGGATACAGAATCTCAATGCAGCAGAGTCATCCCTGCAAATCCAAAGTGTTCAGAAAGTATTAAAGGAACCAAGTGGAGCAGACATTGCTTTGCTGAAGTTGAACAGGTACCATCTCAGTCCAAGTTTCCCACCCATAACACCTTTATTCTGAAGGCAGAAGTTGGCTTAGCCTGGAGTTGGCTCTCAGGGGTGGTTGTGAGTGATATGAGAGAGTGTGAGAGTTCCTTTGGGTATTAGCATAGGCATCTGTTCAAGGGTGAACTCTGAGCATCTCTTCTGCTGAATGACCCCATTGGCAGAACCCTTGTGAGCTTCTTACACAGTTTAGGGAAGGCAAGGACCAGTTAGGATGGGAGGGATGGTCATGGGGAATTCCCATTTGCCACCTGCTAAGAAGCAGCTCCACTGAAGCAGGGAGAGTGGAGGCAAACTAAAGAGGAGTTGTGTCTGGAGGATCTTCTGCTTGGAGGCTTTTCCTGCTCAGCTCTGAGGCCTGCGAGCAAGGAGCAAGCAGAAGGGTCCAGTTTCCCTGGCAGTGCTTCAGGACAGGCCACATGCATGTTTCATGGCCTGGCATGGCTTCAGGCCAGCAGCTCAGTAAAACCAGATCCTGCTTGTGATATAGTGAAAAATGGTGTGCGTAACTGTAATTGCCTGAAGCTCTCTTTAGTGTCTTGCTTAGATGTCTGAGCAGCCTGCTCTGAAACGTGTGCAGCTATTTCAACGTTATTTGTTCCCTTTTGGAATGCTCCTGAAACTTTTCTACTTACTCATTGGTTTCGCTCTTGTTCTTATGTTCACCACACATGGATTAAAGATCATGAAAAGCTCATGTTTGACCTGAGAGGAAATTTCTTTTTAAAAATTCACCATACAGCTTTAATGAACTTAGAACAATTTCACTTAAATGTCAAATCAGGTTCTCTGGTGCTTGATTAATCAAAATCCCACTGACTTCAGGTGAGTAGAAGGAGCTTATGCTCCACCAGTTTTACTCTCGCTAGTGCTTGGAACTGTCATTCGGTTCCTCTTTCACTGGGTGCCCTATGCACATTTGCACTGTAGATACATGCATGCTATAGCACTGTAGGCAGTTTTGCATCAGCAGCACTCACCATCTGAACACAGTCTGCATGTGAGATGCCATAAAAAGCAGGTATGGACATCATAACCCTCAGTTTCTGGCTTAGATCAACTTTGCTTGTTTTCAGCTTCATTAAATTCCTTCTTTACGTTTCTCTTCAGCTTGCTTTGTGGCCCTTATTATTTCCAAAACTTCACATCACATACTTTGAAAATCATTCTGGGCCTGAAAAGAGATTATGAAGGTTCATTTTAGCCTGACTGAACATCTGGAGTTCATTCAGGTCCTTTTACTCTCTTTCACAATCAGAACTAACCTTCACAGGGTAGGTTCCTGATAGTGGCAGATCTCATTTAACAGCTTGTTCAGACATACTTTCACTGTACCAAAACTGTTTGCACTTGACTGACCCCTAGGGCGATACACCTTCCAGAAGCCACCTCATCTTTTCACATCTACATCCGAAAGTCAATAAAGGATCAGGCAGTCCAAAGCAAAGACCTCCCTATGCAATGTTTTCATCTCCAGGGCCCTATCTGCTCCATATCGAGCTTTATTCCAGTGCTGAAGCCTCCAGGCACAATGATGTAATGAGGAAGAGTTTTATTTTGGTATTGACTTTATTGAGGTGCTAGACTTAGTAATGTGCAAGATACTGCATGATGTCACCTGCAGCTATATCACCCATGTAACCAGAGGAGAAAGGAATTTTCTGCAACTTCAGCTGTATCTCCTTATTTACTCATGCATCCATCCATCCATCCATCCTTCCCTCCTCCTGTGAAGTCCCTGAAAATGTCCATGACCTCTGAGGCAGGGACGATCTGAGATAAGTCAGGCTCACACCACCTGCAAGGGTTGCTCGGGGCTGGGCTTGGGCTTGTACATGTTCCTATGCACACTGCACACCAGAGATCAGCACTCTAGCACTATGCTGCAAATACAGTCACACTGTCACTGTGCCCACAAACACATCCCAGAGACTTTCAGTTGCTGTAAGAAACCTCTTTTTTCACTGACTAGGCACCATCTTACACCCATTTACACAGTTTTAAGGCACCATCAGCTACTCCACCCTTCCCCACGCCATTTCCACGCAGAGCCTTCTGAGTATGAAGACTGAACAAGCTGATGGTAATTTTTCTAAGGATCTTTTAATTATTCTGTTTGTTTTCCAGTCCTGTAACAATTACTGACCGTGTAAAACCAGTTTGTTTGCCTGAAACCAGTCTGATGGTGGAAAGAAACGCAGTATGTTTTCTAACTGCCTGGGGAAAAACAAGAGGTAAAGCGTATTCGGTGCAGTTGAAAACTTAGGAAGGCTTTCAAATCTTATCCCCAAATATGTGCACTCATGGGACCTGAAAAACACATTTTACTTAAGATTTAACTAGATCAGAGGTCACCAAGCAACATTATTATTTTTATTTCTTTCTCTCAGAGCTTGATTTTTCCCCCTCATTGCTCACATAAACTGAATTCATTAAATAAGAGAAAAGAGAGAGGAGAATTAGACTTAAGACTTTACCGCCTTTTATCTCTGTTTATTTTGGTCTTTCTTCAGCATAGGCATACACTGTATTTGCACAAATAAAGACAATACTCAAATAATGCCCTTTCCTTTAATTTTGATCTTCAGATATACATTTTTTTTAACATCTGAATGAAGCTTGCACTTGCCTTCCTATAGTCTAAACATTACTGTCTGCATAGACTTCTGTGGGGACCTACATTCACTCTAGACTGCTAGGATATATGGGCAAGCACCAGCCTTAAGCCCTCGTATCTGAGATAAGATGGCATCCCGGGAACTGTGAAGCCTTTGAGTCAGAGCTTTCTCAGACCCAGCCACCTTTGGGGCATGGGCAAAATGAGTTCAAGCTGAAAGTTTTTAATGCCAGTAAAACCCTTACCTGAATTTTATTCACAGTCTAGCATTAAAAACTGACCGTGTGGTCTCCTGCTGCCCAGGTCTCACTCCACCTATGCTGAGGGTTGAGAATACCCAGCCCTCTTTGACCCACTTTTGCTGCAGCGGGAGGCGATTCCTTGTCCCTGTGGCTTCCTGCAGTGATGCTGGTATCTGCCCTCATTCAGTCCCAGCTCCCACGTACGCATTTTTGGCCTTGCTGAGCTACACGCAAGGGATGCCCTTCCCACCCCATTTGCCAGACAGCACCTTATTAATACTCTACCCGTAAAATGAAGCCAATGGATTCTTCTTTGTGTGTGCATCCACAGAAAAAAAACCAAAAAGACTAGAACATGTCCTTATCTCTGAGTTTCACCATAAAAATCCTCCACATAGACTGCAGTACCTTTTTCCCCTTCTTGTATCATTTAGATACAAAACTGATGCTATGAAAATAATGCTTAAGAATAATTACTCTACTATTAGTGTAACTCATCAGCATTATCAAGAAATACTTTTCTCCAGCATAGACAGTATTTACTGGGTTTCCTCACACCTTTTTTCCCTTTCTTACCTTGCATTTTTTTCTTTATTGTTCAGCTTGCCACACGGTGGCAGCTGCTTCCTATGTGCTAGTGATCACAGCCACAAAAAATGGAACAGGCTAGATTTCTTCTGGCAGTGCATTAGGATGGAAAACTCAACAGACCATTGTTGCATTTAGGCAGCAGGAAAGAGGGTCCTGCCACGTCATGCAACTAGTTCATGAAATCAGCAGGGGAGGGAGAGCAAAGCCAGAGCCCCACATCTAAATAAAATGTGTTTTGGGAAAATTCAGCCCTGACTTCAGAAAAATCCTCCTTGAAAGAGTTCAAATTAATGTAAAGTAAATCCAGGCTAACATTTTCCCTCCTGAAACAAGCCATTGCTACTGCGCTGTGATAAATGCCTACAAACCGATACAACATCTCAGAATACTACGCATCTGTTTTTATTTATTTAGTAACACTTTGCAAGAAGAATAACCCCTGCTTGTTGAGGGTAGATATGTTCCAAGCACAAAAAAGTTGAAAGATTTAATAAGGTCCTTCAAGGAGCTCAGGGACCATAGTAGAGCTGGGGACGGATCCCAGTCCTTTCATTACTGAGGCTTCACTGGATCACAATGCCCAGGCTACCATTTATAACTGTTATATTTTCTTGGTTGTTCATGAAGGTACCGATACAGACAACAGATTAAAAGATGTTGAATTCCCCGTGCTTGAAAATAGAATATGTAATCGCCCTGAATTTCTGAATGGAAGTGTCAAAAATCATGAATTTTGTGGTGGATTCACTTTTGGAAGCATAGATAACTGCGAGGTAAGAATAATTTCGCTTTGAGTGTAAGCAGGTCAAATGACAATTTGTACTTTCAAGGCTCATAAATAGCTTCAGCGACTCAAGGCTTCTGCATGAAGCATAAGAACTGAGGCATACGTACCATTTTTTCTTCACTCACACAGCCAGCCAGAATAGCAGGGAAATTGTGTAGGGTAATTTTGCCTTCTTTTCAGAACTGCGTGCTGACATATCCTACTCATAGTAGCCTAGGGTGGTGAATACCCCACCTCACCTGAAATAAAGCCTGTAATACGCTACCTAGACTTCCCTTTGATCCTAGAGACAGAGGCGAAACTAGTGACTGTTTCTGGTTTAGTCTGGAGTTGTACCACATCTTTATTTAATCCCTTGATTAAATAAAGCTGGAAGTGCTTCCAGTTTTCTAATTTTCACAAGTATAAGAAAAGACTTTTAAAATGTAGGTTTCTTAATGGAGGTTATCGTGTTGGGAGCTTTTCAATAAAAAGCTGGTAGCTACTTGGTGACAGACTCAGATAGCAAATACTGGTCTGTTTGAGCAGGTGTTCAAGACTGCTGGTGCAAATGATAACTCTGATAGTGCAGACAGTGCATTCATTGAGAGGCTCACAAATCATTGGACATAGGTATTCATGCCTGGATTTTAAGGAACAGCATTAGAACAATTAAATTCATTTTTTCCAGGATCAAGTAGGTCAGAGGATGTAGAAAATTAAGAAACATTTTTTTATGTGTGTGTGTAACTGGGATCAGTGATCTGAGGATGTTCCCACATCCATGATTGGTAGATCTTCAGACCAGGGGAATGGCCTGGATGCTTAGAAGCAACTTTTTCTTTTTTTCCATTTTTTTTACTCCAGCAGGTCTAATAAAACACTCTCCCTCTCTCTGCATCCCTTGCCTTAGTCCTATTTTGAGGCCTTCAGAGCTACCACAATATTATTCCTGCCAGTATTTTGATGTTCGCATGTCTGGTGTCTCCATCACTTATTCTCTCTTCTCCTCCCTAGGCTGAAGTTGGAGGACCTCTGGTCTGCAAAGATAAGGACAGATTTGTCCAATATGGAGTCACCTCTTGGGGACTGGACTGTACCCAGCCATCAAAGCCTGTTTTTGTCCAAATTCCTAGTTTTGTTTCTTGGATCAAGAATGCAATGGTTGCCCACTGAATCTGGATGCAGGCTACTTTTTCTGGAAAGCAGTCCCAGTGTCAGAAACAGCATTCCAAGTATGGTTTTAAAATTGTAATAATTCATAAGAATATTAAATAAATATCATTACTGGCTGAGCAGAAGTAGTTACTGCAAAGAAATAGCCAAGCTGACCAATTATTACTGTCTGTCAGTGTGTCTGTGTTGTGCCTGGTTAAGTCAACCGTGTTGCATGTGGCACCAGCTGTAAGGTTCCTAATTCACCTCTTTCTTTTGAGACATGCTCCAACTCAAGAAATTGGCTTTCTCTTCATGAAGACACCTGCTTTTCTCCTCTCTACGTGCAAGCAGCTGGCCTGTCTCTGTGTACAAGGTCTTCCTTGTGCAAGAAACTTTATCCCAAATCAGGCCTGTCCCTGTACCCATCACTGGCATCTGCTCCAGGAATAAGAAAGTAGCAACCAAACCTAGCCACTGCCTTGTGTAAGAAAAGGCCAAGCTAGACTGTGCCTGTGCTGCCAGGAGCTGGATGAAGGCCTGGTGGGATTGCTTCTTGTTGGGGCTAATTCCCCCCAGTCAAGCAGCGCTTTGTGCTGTGCTATGCAATCATCTAACTTTCCTATGTTAGATGTTTGCATGGAAAAAACAACTATCCACTCCAGCAGGCAGAGCAGTGTTAGATGGCATATGATACAGTTAACATGTTTGTGAGGCACTTGCACAGAAATCTGCTCTCACTTGTGATACCAATAGTTCAGCCCTGACGTAGAGTTCAGGAATTAAAATAAACTGTTCTTTCTGTTTATTTCCAGAAGAGGCAAGGATGTCTCAGAGGGCTGGAGAAGTGAAGCTGGGTGCCGGGGTGCCCGTGCTTGCCTTATCAGGCTTGGTAGCTGGTGCTTCTGTGTGCTCTGTGGCAGGGAGGTGGAGAAAGAAAGGGCCCCCCCAGGTTAGTCAAGCCTCCCAGAGCCACAGAACCTGGCCTGGCTGCCACCCAGAGCAATGGAAAAGGACTGCCACTGAAGCTGTCAGGAAAGGCTGGGTTAGAGAAAGGCTCTTCGAGCAGTACGGCAGTGACCAAAGGAAATTGTTGAGTGGGACATGTTCCAGCAGCAGCAGAAATCAACAGAAACCCACCTGTCCCGTTGACTTCCCGTCAGTTACCAAAGCTAATTCCAGAATTTTCAGCTGTTGTTCCAATCTTCTGCGTATCACTTAAAAACATATCACTTCCAAACAGTATGTGCCTTGACCTAATAGCAGAAGAAATGTATGCCTCCTATGGACCTGTAAACTGAAGAAGGATTTCTGTATTTTTTTAGTCTTCCATTTGTAAGCCTGCTTTAAAATATATTGTAAATCTAAATCTAGTATTGAGGTACTTTATTATTGCTGTAAAGAACTCTACAGAGATCAGGCTCTATAAACTCATTTTTGGATTTTTAAAAAAGCTAGAGTCAAAAAAAATATATACATTTGTAGACTTTATACTCGCTCCTTGATCTTCTACATCAATTCTTTATGGTTTCCATTATGACCCACTCATCAATTTCCTTTGTTCATCAGGATACTGGTTGAATAGCTGTTCTTTAACCCAGTCTTTCTTAACAGCATCTTTTTCTTGGATTCCTTCCTGATCCTGAACGTTGTTCCCCTCTCCAAGCTTCTGCTCTCCTTCCATCCAGCCTGTCCTTGGTTGTGTGCCCCCATTGCAGCCATAAGAACAGTCCACCTTTTTAAAGGACGTGGCCCTTAGTGTGGAGTTTCTCACACTATCACAGACCTCTGTGCTCTGACCCAGAGGATCCGGAGATGGTGGTGGCTCTCTTCCACTTTTTCTTGTGCAAACAGCTGAACACGTAACAGGCTGTTACAGGCAAGCATGTTTCAGCCATCAACGACTTCTGCAGCCTGTTGTTACCTTTCTCCTCACTTAATCAACATGTGAGACAGGGTTGGGGAAAAACCTGAAGTGTGAACCCAGAAACAGCTCCTTTTGCTCTGTCACCAATATAATACACTCTCTAGTTGCACAAGTTTTCTGTTCAAGTATAGTACTCAGTGCGTCTCTCCATAGTTCTCCTGTGGTAATACAGCCCCAAAGGCTTTTCTTGAGCTGTATGCTCAGTAAACTTGGATACTTTCAGAACCTGTTGAGAGCAGTATCTGGAGCACATGAAAGGCTTGCTGCCATCTGGCACTTGCTTTCTATTCCCCATGTACTGTTTTTGTAAGTTCTGCCAGTAGTGTTGTTCCTTCAAAAAACTGGCACAAGTTCTCGGTAATAACTAGCCAGACCCAGAAATTGTTTCTGTTTCTCTTGGTGCCTGTAAGCCATTCCTCAGTTCTTACAGGCATTGCCTAATGGAAATTTCAGATATTTGATACCATCTTTTGCTAGTTGACACTGAACTGTGCCTGCTGGGGGTCTGCCAGCCTAGGCGATACCATTGCCTGCAGAGATTTTGTAAAGTCTGCCTATAATTCACAGGTCGCAGTAGCAGACGTGTGCAGCTGCATATTCCTCATGGAACCCAACAACCCCACACATTTGTCACTGAAATGCTGCTGCTGTTTTATGTAAACCAAAGGCTATTCTTCTTGATTTCAAGGTTTTAAAAAGGCCTTTCTCCCTGGATGCTTCTGCCAGAGTACATCTCAATACTATTTGGTTAGATTTGGGGTGACCATCAGCGTAGCTCTCCCTGGACACTCTTATAAATACGACAGTTTGCGTGTCACACTGCATCACAGTGGGAAATCGGGTTTCTTTTCCAGAAATCCATGTGATTCATTAGCAGTCCATCCTCTTGCTACAGGATGTTTTCAGGGGCTGAAGACTCTCTTTGGCCTTCACTTTACAATATTTTCTGAATCTTCTTTGACTTGGTTCCACAGTTATTTGAGTCTTTTCTGGGTGTCATTTTATGACTTGTGTTGGGGTTTTTTTTAGCTTTTATGAAATACAGTCTGGAAATCCTGCATTATTTTCACCAGCTGACAAAATGACTGCGGTTTTAGCTGTTCTCTTGCAGCATGGGAATTCTTGATTTACTGTCAGTCATCTGTCCTGGTTTTGCCTCATAGTGACAAACTACTTCTGGCAAGGTTTCTTGCATTTTCCAGTCTTTTGGTGTGTCTAAATAATAAATCTATTTTTATATTTACAGTGCAACTCATTATTACTAGGACTGTGTCAATACATTGTCATAGAAGTTAGGAACTTGGACCCTGCTTCTGGTAATAACACCAGCACTTTTGTCATTGGATGGCACCCGGCATCCTTGGCACACAGGTACCATCCCCTTCATTTTATCCGTGCTTCTTGGGTCTGCTTTGGAGCACTGTATGTTCTTACTCTGTCACACTTGCAAATGTACCTCTGGATTTTTTTTCTTTTCCTGTACCTTAAGCCCTAGACAACTGCAGCACTTCAAACCTTTCTGAGTGCTAGGAGTACATTTTCTTCAAGAAGCTATCTTATACGAGATGTTACAAGACTAACTGGGCAGTTTGTAATGAGGGAAGGTGTTGCAGACTTTGAAAACAAGTTTGGAAAAAAGGTATGAAGATAACTCCAGTTGCTCACAGCATCATCTGTTTAAGTTTTCACACCACTTTCATCCACCTTCCACCTCATTGTTTGTGATGAATCTTATGTATCTGCACTTTCTTTGGCAAAAATAGAACATGATATGCTACAGTCTTTTGGACACATGGCATATGTAAATGGCATATCTTTCAGAAATTTACTTTGAGTTAAAATATAATAGGAGCAAATGATAAAGCTGATCAGCAAATTTTCCATGATTTCTAGTGCACAATTTCCGGATCTTAGCTCAGGAGTTTACATGAGAGTCAAGGAAAAAAAAAAAACCAGAACAACTTTTCCAATGCTGCCTCCAGCAAATGCAAGATGTGGAATCTAATGGCAATGTCTTTTTTGCATAGGGGCATAAAAATGATTAAAAAATAAAGTATTTTTATACATCTATTAAACTGGAACCATCATAAACACTTTTATAAACTGCTTGTAAACAAAGAAGCTGTTATTGTATGTTACACACACACATAAACCACACATAACATACACACTCAGACAGGCATGTGCGTGCGCGCACACACACAATGTGCCAAAATATTATACTAAATCTGAAGGTGATATTCTCATCTCACTGACATATTGTTGAAAATCTCATTGACTGATGTGGCTTGAACTGATCCCATTCGACACAGCTTTGAATGGAATAGAACAACATCATTTGCTGCCTTGCCCTTTTAGCATTTCATTTCAGTAAGACTAAACTGGTTAGAACATCCTTCCTTTATGCAAGTTAATGAGTCAAGAACAACCACCGAGATAAACCTACATAAAAGTGACAAGTAGAAACCGCACTGGCAATTTCAATATATACATTGTGTGGAAAGTGGAGGTTGCTTGTCAGTCTCTTCTGAAACTGTCATAGAAGCAATAACACTCACCCTATTTCAGCAACATTTCCAGACAGCCAATTTTATCACTAGCTGGAGCCATCAGTAAACAGTACACTGCTGCAGGGATCATTCTATATAACTGTGTAAGTTTGTAGAAAAATACCAGAACAGTACCTTACAAATCGCAGGCATTTGCTGGGGTCTTTGGAAGCACTTGGGCAATTGTTGGGTGAAATCAAAATTTCTCCATGGGTTCTCTCCTCTGCTTTTCTAACCAGAAGTGGAATAGTGGTTATGCTTCTTTTCTTCATTTTCTCTTCTACATTCTGCTGCCAAATAGCCCTCACCCTCATCCAAGGACTTCCTAGTAACTCCAAACATTTTGAACGGAGTGGTCAAAGGGTTAAGCTGCACCATTATGTGTGAGAGGAAGGACTGATAAGAGTTCAACAACCCTCCATCTGCATGGGCTCAAGAACAGCAGTCACAGCTGAGTCCTCTGATTTGGGACAGGGAAAGCAAGAACTACTTGCCTGCTAAACCCAAAAAAGTGTAGCCATGACCTGCCAGGCATTAGTCTTTGA